TCGTGCCAGTTGATTCAGAGCCAGCTGTCACGCCTGGTGACTCGGTGCCCACTGCCTTGCCAGATGACTCAGTGCCCAGCTGTGCGAGCCAGATGCCCCCTGATGCCAATGCCTGACCCGATGCCCGCTGTCGTGCCTGGTGACCTGATGCCCGCTGTTGAGCCAGATGACCTGGTGCCCGTGGTCGAGCAAGACGATCCAATGTCTGATGACCCGGTGCCCGCTGTTGTACCTGGTGACCCGATGCCCGCTGTTGAGCCAGATGGCCCGGTGCCTGCCGCCCTGCCTGGTTGCCCGGTGCCTGCTGCTCCGCCTGGGGGCCCGGTGCCTGCTGCTCCGCCTGGGGGCCCGGTGCCTGCTGCTCCACCTGGGGGCCCGGTGCCTGCTGCTCTGCCTGGTGGCCCAGGTGCCCGCCGCATTGCCTGGGGGCCCCCGGTGCCCCCAGCTCCGCCTGGTGGCCCTGTGCCTGCCGCCCTGCCTGGGGGCCTGGTGCCCGCTGCTCCGCCTGGTGGTCCGGCGCCTGCTGCCCTGCCTGGTTGCCCGGTGCCCTGCTGCCCTGCCTGGTGGCCCGGTACCCGCCGCTGCCCTGGTGGGGCCCGCCTGGTGGCCCGCTGCTCCACCTGGTGGCCCGGTGCCTGCTGCCCTGCCTGGTGTGCTCCACCTGGGGGCCCGGTGCCCTGCTGCCCTGCCTGGTGGCCCGGTGCCCTGCTGCTCCTCCGCCTGGTGCCCGCCCGGTGCCCGCTGTTCCGCCTGCTGACCCGGCGTCCAGCCTGATGTGCCTCCGTCTGGTGCCCAGCTCGAAGTGCCTCCGTCCGGTGTCCAGCCCGAAGTGCCTCCGTCCGGTGTCCAGCTCGAAGTGCCTCCGTCCGGTGTCCAGCTCAAAGTGCCTCCGTCCGGTGTCCAGCTCAAAGTGCCTCCGTCCGGTGTCCAGCAATTAGCCATCACCTGGGGCTGATTGCAGGTGTATTTAAGGGATGGCCAGACCTGCAGTCTGTGCCTTGGTGTGTGTTTTTGCATGGACCCCTGTATCTTGTAACCTGCATTCCTGTTCCTGTTCCTGTTTCTGCCTGACTTGTTGCTGACCCTGCCTGATCCTGACCTCTGCTGACTTCTCCTGTTTTGATCCCTGGCTTGTGACCCTGACCATTCTCTCCGCCTGCTCCTCCTGTACCTACCTGCCCGATAGTTATCGACCCGGCCTGCCTAACTACGTTGTGCTCTACATGTGTATGTACCTGGGTATCTGTATCAGTTTAGGTTTGGGTTTGTTTCACCTTGTTGTATGTATTTGTGTTAGCTTGGGGTTTGGTGCACTGCGTTTATGTTTGTACTGTTAGTCTTTAATAAAGCGTCTTATTTATACCATATCTGAAGCTTGCATTTCCCTGTGTCAGTCCACACACTTCTGGTCTCACCACCTGCATCTCTGACAGGTATTGCATCATGGCAAACAATCACCCCAATTTGTCTTTCTACTGCTTTAGCTAACGGCAGTGAACTTGCATGGCAATTTTCTTTAACCCTTTTCATCAGAAGACACTCCTGTCGAGGTGTTACTTCTGTAGATGGCCTGGATGTCTCTGTGAGATGGTTGTAGTTCCATCTTTGTTAATTTTTTGTATCACTTTTGCTACAGTATTCTGACTGATAAGGAAAGCTTTGCTGATCTTCTTGTAGCATTCACCCTTCTTATGTAAAGAAATAATTTTCTTTCTCAGGCGTTGTGACATTTCTCTTCCATGTGGTGTCATTGCTGGCAGCATGAAGTGGGAATGGGTTTTCTTTGTTAATTAATGCCCTTTTATAATTAATGGCCTGCTGGACACCTGTTTAATGAATAATTAGACTCACCTGTAGTTGAATTCTGGTTAATTAGGATTTTGTTGTCTAAAATTTAGTTTTGCTTCTATGACTTTCATTGGGGTGTATTCATTTTCGCAACATGGTCTTGAATGAATTTGTTAAGAAAAATGCTTTTTTTGTGTGTGCAAATTGACAAATCATGTTTGCAATCAATGGCCGGCATTTGTTGGAGCATTCTATAATATAGTGTCCCACAGAAAATGTTGATTCTGAAAGGAAAGTACAGGTTCTCTGACAAATCTGTTGGGGTGCACTCATTTTTGCTGAGCACTGTATATATATATATATATATATATATATATATATATATATATATATATACACACACACACTCACCAGCCACTTTATTAGGTACACCTTGTTAGTGCCAAGAAAATTCATTACACCACCACCAGCCTGAACCGTTGATACAAGGCAAAATGGATCCATGCTTTCATGTTGTTTCCGTCAAATTCAGACCCTACCATCTGAATGTCACAGCTGAACCAGTCTGCCCATTCTCCTCTGACCTCTGACATCATCAAGGCATTTTTGTCCACACAACTGCCGCTCACTGGATATTTTCTTAGTTGAATTTATGGGAACATAATATGCAGTTTTTGCAATGTTTGTAACTTTTAGTGCTTTTTAAAAAAACTCAAGTACAGAAATCCCCGTTTGTATTATAAATAAATATATATGTGTGTGTGTGTGTGTTTTATATGACATGATGACTCCTGACCCAGTCTGATGCTGCAACACTCCACCTAATTGGTGGGTGGAGCTGTAGGGTGACTGTTACATTTAATAGGAGGTAAACACCAGCAGGGGCGGACTGACAACTCATGGGGCCACCGGGCAATAGGGGATCATGGGGCCCTGTGTCCTTGCCCAAACTCAAAAATGCCTATGAAAAAGGTACCGGGGCATCTCATGGGGCCCCCTACTGACCCTGGGCCCTCTTGCGGTACCCGAATTTCCAAATGGTCAGTCTGCCCCTGAACACCAGCTTGCTTGAGCTCTGAGAAAGGGGATGCATCCTCAAAACATGTCAGCTTGCCGACATCACCAACAGTTTTGACACTCATTGCCACACTGGTTGACCATCGGAGATTACTGTTATGCATGTTACTTCTGTCCGTTGTGAGTATTCAGATGGCTATTTGGTTTATTTTAATACATTTTGGTTAATGCACTAGGCATTTCCACCCCGTGTGTTATTTTGGTATGTACATTTTTGTGCATCTTTGCCTGTTTTGTTAAAGAGTTTTCTAGCGTTTTGGAGCTCTGGCGTTTTTGTAATAGCCAATAGAGACAAATATCATATGTGGCATCAATTGCTGCTGTGTGTTTCTGCTTCCTGGGTTATTTTCATTTGCTTCCTAGTTTTCCTGTTCTTTGGTGTCAGATGCTAACTGCTCTACCCAGTGTATTTGTGAGGTCTTTGCCTTACGTGAGGGGTTGTAGAATGTGCATTTTGGAATACTTTCTAACAAATGGCATTTTTTGTACACTCCCACCATCTTAAATATGTAAAATTCTAAAGCTGCATGTGCCCTGCACAGCTTTGTTCACCAGCACAATGGATTTTTTTTTGAGGACTCAATAATGAGGAGATGACCCCCATGAGTAAGCCCCTTGGGCACGGCGAAATGCGTTGGGATGGTGGCCTGGATGGAGCCGGGTTGAGGCTGCTTTTACCTCTGTGACTGTCAGGCTTTGTTGATATCCGGCAGCTGGAGTTTTCTCTTCTTCACAACTCAGTTGGTGACTGGGACCAAAGATAAGTAAAATTTATTAAATACCTTTTTGGTTGTGTGTATACAAATTAAAATTAGGGGAAAAGTCCATAATGGGGATATTATTGACATAGCCCCAAAAGAATCCCAATAAATCACCTGGGCCAAATTGCATACACCCACATGTCCTCAAAGAGTTTAGGTCCGTGGATGAAAAAGTGGATGAAACAGTTTATTTTTCTTTAAACATGTTGATATTTTCTCCTTTACTTTGTAAAAAAATGAAAGACCCAGTGGCATTTTTTTAAGTAGTGATGAAATTTGCTAAAAGCTTTGCTAATTATTTGCAAAATATTGTTGTACTCTGTTATACAAGTTGATGCCTGTGTGTACTATGCCTAACATATCATGTAAGTACTTGAATACAAAGACAGTAAAAGGTAGCATGGTGGTGACATTTTCAGAAAACAAGCTAGTTCAGCAGCTGTGTCTGACATTTTCTTGATGCTTACAGTTAAGCTTTAAGTGAATGTCTATCTAAACTTTTTTTTCTCACTTTTGAATTCACATTTTACTGTTATCCAGAAAGATTTATCCTCATTTCCTGTCCTGCTGACAATGTTTTACCAGACAAAAAGTAATATATCTTCAACAGAAACATGAGCAGGATTAAAAATGATTTTCTTAATATAGCAGAGGAAGGCTAGAACCTCTGTCAGTATTTGTATTTCTTCTGTGCCCCTCTTGAACATTTTTCATTACTTCCTGTATGTTGAAATGGAGCCCCAGATAGTAGTAAAACCCAGCAGACGTTTATCTTTCTCCACAAAATGAGAAAAAATTTTGGCTTGAAGTACACTTTAACATTTTCAACATTGGGAGTCTACTGTGATATATACAATACTATATATATATACTATATTGCCAAAAGTATTAGGACACCTGCCTTTACACGCACATGAACTTTAATGGCATCCCAGTCTTAGTCTGTAGGGTTCAATATTGAGTTGGCCCACCCTTTGCAGATATAACTGCTTCAACTCTTCTGGGAAGGTTGTCCACAAGGTTTAGGAGTGTGTCTATGGGAATGTTTGACCATCCTTCCAGAAGCGCATTTGTGAGGTCAGGCACTGATGACATATGAGAAACCTGGCTAGTAGTCTCCGTTGTAATTCACCCCAAAGGTGTTCTATCGGGTTGAGGTGCAGCCCAGTCAAGTTCCTCCACCCCAAACTCACTCATCCATGTTTTTATGGACCTTGCTTTGTGCACTGGTGTGCAGTCATGTTGGAACAGGGAGCATGAAATTGTCCAAAATGTCTTGGTATGCTGACACCTTAAGAGATCCTTTCACTGGAACTAAGGGGCGAAGCCCAACCCCTGAAAAACAACCCTACACCGTAATCATCCCACTAAACTTTACACTTGGCACAATGCAGTCAGGCAAGTACCGTTCTCTTGGCAACTGCCAAACCCAGACACGTCCATCAGATTGCCAGACAGAGAAGCGTGTTCCAGAGAACACATCTCAACTGCTCTAGAGTCCAGTGGTGGTGTGCTTTACACCATTGCATCTGCCGCTTTGCATTGCACTTAGTGATGTAAGGCTTGCCCGCAGCTACTAGGCCACAGAAACCCATTCCATGAAGCTCTCTATGCACTGTTGTTGTGCTAATCTGAAGGCCAAAAGAGGTTTGGAGGTCTTTAGCTATTGACTCTGCAGACAGTTGGTGACTTCTGCACACTGTACGCTTCAGCATGCGCTGACCCTGCTCTGTCATTTTACATGGACTACCACTTCAAGGCTTAGTTACTGTTGTTCCCAGTTGCTTCCACTTTGTTATAATACGACTAACAGTTGACTGTGGAATATTTAGTAGCAAGGAAATTTTATGGATGGACCTTTTGCACAGGTGGCAACCTATCTCGGTATCACGCTTGAATTCACTGAGTTCCTGAGAGCGACCCATTCTTTCAAAAATGTTTGTAGAAGCAGTCTGCATGTCTAGGTGCTTGATTTTATATACCTGTGGCCATGGAGGTTATTGGAACACCTGAATCTAATAAATTGGAGGGGTGTCCCAATACTTTTGGTAACATAGTGGAGATATACACTGCTTAAAAAAATTAAAGGAACACTTTGAAAACACATCAGATCTCAATGGGGAAAAATATCATGCTGGATATCTATACTGATATGGACTGGGTAATGTGTTAGGAATGTAAGGATGTCCCATCGTTTGATGGAAGTGAAGATTATTAACCTACAGAGAACTGAATTCAAAGACACCCCAAACATCAAAGTGTAAAAATGATGCAGTAGGCTTGTCCATTTTGCTGAAATTTCATTGCAGCAACTCAAAATGGTACTCAGTAGTCTGTATGGCCCCCCATGTGCTTGTATGCATGGCTGACAATGTTGGGACATGCTCCTAATGAGATGACAGATGGTGTCCTGGGGTATTTCCTCCCAGATCTGGACCAGGGCATCACTGAGCTCCCGGACAGTCTGAGTTACAACCTGGAGGTGTTGGGTGGACCAAAACATGATATTCCAGAGGTGTTCTATTGGATTTAGGTCAGGGAAGTGTGGGGGCCATTTAATGGTATCAGTTCCTTCATTCTCCAGAACGTTCTTGCATACTCTCGCCACATGAGGCCAGGCATTGTCGTACACCAGGAGGAACCCAGGATCCACTGCACCAGCGCAGGGTCTGACAATGGATCCAAGGATTTCATCCCGATACCCAATGGCAGTCAGGGTACCATTGTCGATCTGTGCAACCCTCCATTGATATGCCTCCCCAGACCATCACTGACCCACCACCAAAACAGTCATGCTGAATCATGTTACAGGCAGTATAACGTTCTCCATGGCTTCTCAAGACCCTTTCACGTCTGTCACATGTGCTTAGGGTGAACCTGTTCTCATCTATGAAAAGCACAGGGCACCAGTGGTGGACCTGCCAATACTGGTGTTCAATGGAAAATGCCAATTGAGCCCTATGGTGTCAGGAAGCAAGTACAGGGCCCACTAGAGTATGTCTGGCCCTCAGGCCACCCTCATGAAGTCTGTTTCTGATTGTTTGGTCAGAGACATTCACACCAGTGGCCTGCTAGAGGATATTTTGTAGAATTCTGGCAGTGCTCATCCTGTTCTTCCTTGCACAAAGGAGCAGATACCAGTCCTGCTGATGGGTTAAGGACCTTCTACAGCCTTGTTCAGCTCTCCTAGACTAACTGCCTATCTCCTGGAATCTCCTCCATGCTATTGAGACTGTGCTGGGAGACACAATAAACCTTCTGGCAATGGCACATATTGATGTGCCATCCTGGAGGAGTTGAACTGTCTGTGCAACTTTTGTAGGATCCAGGTATCGCCTCATGCTACCAACCGGTAGTGACACTGATTCTAGCCAAATGCAAAACTAATGAAAAACAGTCAGAAAAGATGAGTAGGGAAAAAAATGTCAGTGGCCTCCATCTGTAAAACCATTCCTGTTTTGGGGGTCGTCTCATTGTTGTCCATCTAGTGCACCTGTTGTTAATGTCATTAACCTCCCTAGCGGTCTGATTATGTCCATATTTCTGTGCTCAAAAGCGGTACATTTTTTTGCATGGAAATATGTATTTTTTTTATTGTAGGCCTGTAATTTTTAGGAATAACTCACTGAAATCTATCCGAACAAGAGTCTACTAAACATCCCGGGTATGTTAAAATTTGAAACACGAAATCATAAATTATAATTTAATAAATAATCATAAAAAAATAATAATATAATAATACATTTAATTCAATAATATAATCAAACCAAAAACACTGAAATTTTAAATAGAGCGCCAAGTTCGCACATCACTGAGCAAAGTCGAAAAATCGTTTTCAGTGTCTGATGACGAATTTCCCCACGAATCATTATCACTCAATTCTGCAAGTGGTTCTAATTTACTATCACTGTTCTCTAACTGATCTAAAACCGATTTTGACCTAAAGGGACGCTTTTTGGACGCCATGGACGTTTCTCAGTTTCCAGGCAGAAAGAACAGTAAAAATGTAGGTAGGGCACAGGACAAAGCAGTAGGGACAAAATGTATGTGAAATGGTTTGATACAGTAATGTTTTACTATGTTATTTTAGTGTATTTAGTGAATGTCACTTTTTGTCATTTTCAAATTTCCCGCCAGTTCCGTCCCCCGTACGTCCTGACGCTCGCAGGAGACGAAACCCAGATGACAGATGCCGGAATCCGCTGGAGGACATTGCCGGAGACACTGCAGGAGGGACATCGCGGGGAGCGCAGGACAAGGTAAGAGAAGAACAGATGCTGGGGCAGCACCACATGGTAAGCCCGAGTGTAGCTCGGGGATACCGCTTGTGGTGCTGAAACTTTACCCCAAGCTACACTCGGGAATACCGCCAAAGAGGCTACCACCAAAGCAGCTGAAACTGATTAACAACCCCTTCTGCTACCTAACTGACCAGATCAATATCCCAGGAGTTCATTTGACTTGATGCTATACTCTGATTAAAACGTGTTCCTTTAATTTTTTTGAGCAGTATATATATATATATACAGTGGGGATCGAAAGTTTGGGCACCCCAGCTAAAAATTTGTATTAATGTGCATAAAGAATCCAAGAAAAGATGGAAAAATCTCCAAAAGGCATCAAATTACAGATTAGACATTATTATAATATGTCAACAAAAGTTCGATTTTATTTCCATCATTTACACTTTCAAAATAACAGAAAACAAAAAAATGGCGTCTGCAAAAGTTTGGGCACCCTGCAGAGTTAATATCTTGTACTGCCCCCTTTGGTAAGTATCACAGCTTGTAAACGCTTTTTGTAGCCAGCCAAGAGTCTTTCAATTCTTGTTTGAGGTATCTTTGCCCATTCTTGCTTACAAAAGTCTTCCAGTTCTTTGAGATTTCTGGGCTGTCTGTCACGCACTGCTCTTTTAAGGTCTATCCATAGATTTTCAATTATGTTAAGGTCAGGAGATTGTGAAGGCCATGGCAAAACCTTCAGTTTATGCCTCTTGATGTAATCCCCCGTGGATTTCGAGGTGTGTTTAGGATCATTATCCATTTGTAGAAGCCATCCTCTCTTTAACTTCAGCTTTTTCACAGATTGCATCAAGTTACCATCCAAAATTTGCTGAAATTTTATTGAATCCATTTTTCCTTCTACTCGTGAGATGTTCCTTGTGCCACTGGCTGCAACACAACCCCAAAGCATGATTGATCCAACCCCATGCTTAACAGTTGGACAGAAGTTCTTTTCATTAAATTCTGTGCCCCTTCTTCTCCAAGCGTACCTTTGCTCATTCCAGCCAAAAAGTTCAATTTTAACCTCATCGGTCCACAGAACTTGTTTCCAAAATGCATCAGGCTTGTCTATATGTTCATTTGCAAAGTTCAAACGATGATTTTTGTGGTGAGGACGTAGAAGAGGTTTTCTTCTGATGACTCTTCCATGAAGACCATATTTGTACAAGTATCTCTTTATAGCGGAATAGTGTACCACAACTCCAGTGTCTGCCAGATCTTTCTGGAGGGATCGTGCAGTCAAACGTGGGTTTTGAATTGTTTTTCTCACAATCCTGCGAGCTGTTCTGTCTGATATTTTTCTTGGTCTTCCAGATCTTGCTTTAACTTCCACTGTTCCTGATGACTGCCATTTCTTAATTACATTCCGAACAGAGGATATTGACATCTGAAAACGCTTTGCTATCTTCTTATAGCCTTCTCCAGCTTTGTGAGCATCAACTATTTTCAGTTTCAGTTTTCTAGACAACTGCTTAGAAGAACCCATGGTGCTGATTGTTGGGGCAAGGTCAGATGAGTCTGGGCATTTAAAACCTTTGAGATTGACATCACCTGGTCTTCCCAGACGATGATTGAGAACAATCCGTGACACTGGCAGGTCTCAGCTTTGCAAAGGGGGCAGTGCATGCTATAAATTCTGCAGGGTGCCCAAACTTTTGCAGACGCCATTTTTTTTGTTTTCTGTTATTTTGAAAGTGTAAATGATGGAAATAAAATCTAACTTTTGTTGACATATTATAAGAATGCCTAATCTGTAATTTGATGCCTTTTGGAGATTTTTCCATCTTTCCTTGGCTTCTTTATGCACATTAATACAAATTTTTAGCTGGGGTGCCCAAACTTTCGACCCCCACTGTATATTTATATATGTAAAAAAGTCCTGACATTTTCTAACTTGCACTTGTCTGGGTAGCAGTGCGTTGCTTTGCGCTGTAGGGTAGAAAATGAGGGACAGGAATCTGGAACAGCGGATTAACAGCAAATTTTGCATGGAAATTGGCAAAAGTATGAGTGAAACGTTAGCTCTGTTACAACAGGCTTATGGTGAACATTCCATGACGGAATCAAGTGTTATAGGTTACATAGGTGGTTTAAAGAGGGGTGGGAAGATGTCCGCAATGATGCAAGAAGTGGGCAGCCAAAAACGCAAATGATGGAGGAAAATGTGGACAGATTGCGAATCTTTATATGCTCGAATTGAGAATTGAGTGTGAGAATGATGCCAGAAGAATTAAATATGAACAGGGAAACAGTGCAGAGGACTTGGGAATGAGAAACATTTGTGCAAAGTTGGTGCCTCGAATGTTAACAGAAATTTTTGTGTATAAGTATATTTATATATATATATATATATATATATATATATATATATATATATATTGTGACAGTAGGCAGGTAAAATCACCTGGTTGCATCCAGGATGGCAGGTACATTTGTCCTAGATTCAGGCTCTATGTGGATTTGTTCCACTAGGTGGTGCCCTTCAGAAGTGAGGTCATGAGGACAGTTGAGGCAAGTGGGCTCATTAGGGCCTCTATAAGGCTACATTCACACTAGCATTGTGTGCAGGCAGCAGAGAGGCGTTTGGGAAGCGTTTTTACCGCTTCCCAAACACCTCTGACAATTCTGCACATTGCAGCACATGGTGCTGTTCTAACGGGAGCGTCAGGAGGTCTGGTCGAGTCAGGAGGCGTTGAAGCCTCCTATTCTAGTCTATGGTGCCGCTCCGCAAACACCCGGCCGGTGTTTGTGGCACGGTTGCAACACGGTTGCGGGGCGTTTGCGGAGCGTTTTTAATGCTCGGCAAACGCCTAGCAACCGCTGGTAAACCGCTCCACAAACGCCGGATCAACGCTTGCCAAGCGCTATAGGGGCATTTGGCAAGCGTTGGTAAAACAGTCAAGTGTGAACAAGCCCTAAATCTTCCCAGCCTGCACAGGGAGTTCCATCCTGGAACCAGTTCTGTGCATGTGTATGGGGGGGGGGGGGCGCTTCATATCTGTCTGTGCAGTGAGACAAACGCCTGTGTTGCCAACCTCTAAATAACAGGGAGATAGGGTCTGGGTGCAGCACAAGGCTGCACCTAGTTGATAGGGAGGGAAGCTGTGTGTGTAGTAAGTGACCAAGTTGGCAAGGGTATATTTTCATGTTTCTTTTTGTTTTGATGTTTTTTTTCTTGCAAATAATGTAAATAAACCGCACCTTTGTTTTCTCACCTAAACTGCTGTTTTGCTATGTCTGTTTTTGTGTTGTAAACTCATCCAGAGGGTCACACACACCAGCTGCCGAGCTAACCCCATTACAATATATATACATATATATATATACACACACCTACTTTTTTTCCATGTCATAAACCAACAAATTACTTATCAAAACAAAGTACCTTTTTGTGGCCTTTAAAGTTACTTCTAAATTGGCCTTTAAAGTGAAATTCTTGTTCTTCAAAAATGGGAAAAAAGGAATTTGAGATTTGGAAGAGACTGAGAGCAATAGAAGGGATCTACTTGATTTAAGACTACAATAGCTTTTTTTTTTAACCCAGGGTTTACTGTTACTTTAATTCCCTGTCATCTTCCTAAAGTGTTTTCAGCTTACTGCTACATGGGGGGGCGGTTAATTAAGTGGCAACTGATGAGTTACAAGACCAAATAAATTTTATGTTTCAGTTTGTCTTTAGTTGTCTGCTCATGAAGACACTAGAAGACTAAAAGTAGGACCTTAGCAAGGTGTGCTGTCCTCCTGTTAGATGACAGATAGCAAACAAAATTGACAGAAGCAGCACTGCATTTCATTCCAAAAATGAATGTAATTCTGTGAATAGTTCTGTAAAACTCTCAATACAATCACATAAACTGAAGTTACAATATGCTTGTAAATATGTCTCTCACAAATGCACACAATGAACACAATTCTTACAAACAGCTGCATACAAATCACATTGAATACATTGAATACATTCAATGCATGAAAGTAACCTTCTGATTGCAACTTCCCCCCCAACTCTCACTTATACTCCCCTGAGCTTGATCTTAATCCAACGATGTGCAGGGGAGCTGAGGCTCTCATGGACCTCTCACTGATCATTGGCTAGAGCCACTGAAGTCAATCACAGCCAGCAAGAGAGAGAGTACAGAGGTGTTCGGGAGGAGGAGACATAAGGCAGACTTTCAGAGGTGTGTTATATAATTTACAAATCCTGGGAGACGTATGTGGCTGTGGTTAAGTAGCTGAGAACAATGTTCTCTTCAGTGGCCCCAAGGACTTAGCCTCCCCAGCTTCCAGTAACTTGTGGCAGATGGGCTCATTCATGTTTCATATCCTCTGAAATTGACCTTATGATTTAAGTTATGATGAGAGGGACCATGACTGGTTAAACTCTCCTGCATCCACATTAAAAGGGGAAAGTCCCAGAGCTCATCCTGTTCTTGCAAAGGGAGCAAAATAGTAGCACCTGCTGCATAGGAACCGTTTAACCTCCTATCTGGAGCCTGAAAGTATACTTATGCTGTTCTACTAACTGTTAGCTGACAGCTAGCTAACAAAACTGACAGAAGCAGAATTGTTTTCATTCCAAAACTGAATTTACTTCTGTGAATAGTTCTGTAAAACTATAATTCAATCACATAAACTGAAGTTACAATATGACTGTAAATATATCAGTCACAAATGCATACAATAAACACAATTCCTATGAACAGCTACCTACAAATCACATTGAATACATTTGATACATGAAGGTGAACCCCCCCCCATCTTTCTCTTATACTCCCCTGAGCCTGATCTCAATCCATCAATGTGCAGGAGAGCTTAGGCTCTCATGAATCTCTCACTTCTCATTGGCTCCAGCTACTGAAGTCAATCACAGCCATTGAGGATGGAGCAGGGGGTGGGCCAAGCCATGCACTGTGTGTCTTATGTACACACAGAGGTACTTCGGGAGCAAGCCTGCATGAGTGGCCCCACAGCAAGCAGCTTACTGTGGTGGGCACTTAGCGAAGGGGAAGAGCCAGAAACGCTGGTGGAAGACCCAAGAAGAGGAAGATCAGGCATGCTCTGTGCACAACCATTGCACAGAGCAGAAAAATATAACATGTACT